TTCCATGCTTTCAAACTGCTAGATTGGCAGTAGGGGCTATACAGATTGAAAATAAAACTTCATTGGATATTCATTTGTTCAATCAGTCTGGAAATAATGGTTTGGATTTACTTTTGAAATTAAATAATGATGTTTTTCATATTGTGCGAAGTTTAGCATATTGTGTGAAGTGCAGACATTTTGTAAATTGTAGCTTAAATTGTATGGACTTCTGATATTATATAGCGTTCTATTGCTCTAAAGAGCGCCAGCTTTTCAGAGAGAAGGGTGAAAAGCTTTTTTCTGAAGTGGAGGTAAACCTATCCAGTTTATTTAACTGGTTTTTATAGGTCTTAGTTTCTAGTCCCCTGCAAATCTTCATTGTCCTTCTCTCACCTTGTTCCAGTTTCTTTGAATTATTCTTAAACTCTGCTATTCTGAAGTGGCCATAGTACTTGAGTCTGGAGTAGAATGTGGAGAAATAACAGAATAGCAGAGTTGCTCAAGCAGGAGACCCTATACTATACAAATGGCTGTCCAGTCTCCCTCTTCTGAAGTCAAGCCGCTCCATTGCAAATTGTTCTCAGTTGAACTTCATTTCATTTCCTTAATTTCATTTGAATATTTCAACTCTGCTGATGCAATCTAAAATGCATTTTATCTTTTTAGCATCCATCCATTCCATGCTACTGGCTCATATTCAATTTTTACTCAAAATATTATGCCAATATTTTTTCACAAATGCTATTTGCTAGTCAGATCACTCCCAGTTTCCATCTGTGCTTTTGATTTTTGTTTTCTAAGATAAGGATTTTTCACTTTTCAGAGTGAAATTTCATTGCGTTGCTCTCAGTTTTTTTTATCATTCATTTTGAATGTTATTTTTGTCTTGTGGGAAATTACTTATCCCACCCAATTTTGTTTTATCTGCAAAGCTGATAAGCTTCCACTCTTATCTCATCCTCTAAATAATTTACAAAAACATTAAAGAGTAGAAGATCCATAACTGATGCTTGTGGCTCTTCACTTGTTCCTTCTCTTCATTTTGATGAAAAACTATTGTTGAGTACTCTTTAAATATATTTTTGAGGTACTTGTATATCCATTTAATTGTTCATTCATCCAACCCACACTTAATCTACTGGTAAATCAGTATATCCTGGACACTTTGTCAGATGCTTTTATATAGATATCAAAGTTCTGGTCTTTTATAGAGCTTTTTCTGCAACAGAGACTTGCATGAAGTTATTCTGAGGGCCATATGGCTCTGTCTAGTAAATGGATCACACTCTTATTCTGGTGTGGAAGTAAACATGGAGATGGTACTAGGCATAGTAAAAGTGCTGGTCGCAGAATAATCAGGCTGCATATTCTTGTAGATCTCAATTTACCCAAGACAAATTGTGTCATAGCTTTACCTGGAGCCCAGCACACACTGCCTGTAGCCTGTACTCAGGAGCTAGCAGTAGGACTAAACCTGGATAGATGAGTTGCTTTTATTCCTCATAGAAGATGGCCAAATGATGAAGGAAGTCAGCCACTACAGAATATAGTAATTCATCCCACTATGTAGGTCTATGGTTTAAATTGTATTTGCTTTCTCCTGCTGTATAGAGTAAATGTTGATCATTTTTTGGCCTTGGGTGTATAGGACATCTGAATCATGTTTTAATAACTATTTTATCTGGTTGCAATCTCTTTACTTCCATCCTTAATAGTTCCAGCCCTCGGGGAATGGCTACTGAGTCTCGGGGCATGGTTTTATCAGTCTGCAGAACCCACTAGTTGTCCCCCCCTGCCAATCCTGGAATTCTTGATCAAGAGGTAAAGTTCTAGTGCTAGGAAACTGACTATGTTTGAGGGAATTCCCTCCCTCCCCAGTTTTTCATGCAACCCAATCAAGTTTTTGTGGAACCCAAATATTCCATATAAGCCAGTTGTACAAACCATGTCTTGGAGGAGGCAGCTGAAAAAATATTCTATGAGTAGGATTATCCCAACTCTCTTGGTCAAATTGGCCCTTCTTATAGTGATAAACTAAAAAGGGACATGGTGACTCAGTCACTGTTCCCTCTAAGGTGCGCGGCTGCACGGCCGCGCACGTGGCAAGAAAACACCACGCAGTGATTTCTGTCACAGGCTCTGGAAGCTGAGGGGAATATCTGCTGCTGCCTCCTCCTCTTCCAACAGCACTGCCGGATTTGCTGCCAACGCTGCAGCTGAGGTGAACCTCCCGTCAGCATCCCCGCCCGTGGCAGTGGTGCCTCTCCCTCCACGCAGAGCACCTGAGCTGGCCCCCATGTTATCCCTCCCCCTTCCTCCTCTGCCGTGCTTTTGAGGAGCTAGTAGGAAGGCGGCTGAGGGGGCAGGAGCAGGAAAAAAGGCCTCATGGCTTCTCAAAAGCACGGCGGAGGTGGAGGTGGTGGCAGGGGTAACCCAGAGCCCAGCTGAGGTGCTCCGAGCGGAGGGGGAGGCACCGCCGGTGCTGCCATGGGTGGGGGCGCCTGCGGGAGCTTTGGAGGCTTCACCTCGGCTGCAGCGCTGGGCAGCAAATATGTTGGTGCTGTTGGAGGAGGAGGAGGAGGCGGCAGCAGCAGCTATTTAGTGGCAGCGGGGGGTTCGTTGGCATCTTCAGCGGCAGCCCTGCCCCCTGTAAAAAAAACCGAAGATGGAGCAGATCCACGCAGATGACGTTGTTG